ACTCAGTGCTCCTCCTCATCTCAAAGGAGCATGACCAGGGTTTTCTTACCTATTTACTCTAAAGAATCCACATCCAGGCTAGGCTATTTTGGTACCTGGTGTCATTTCTCTCTCACACACACACTTCTTTCCCTTTAGGAAGTCGACTTTTTGACCGTTCCTAATGAGAAACTCAGAACTCCATACTCCTTAAGCCCTGAATTAGGAGAGAAGAGATCCCCCAGAGGTTTGGCAAAGCGGGGAACAACCTTCCCCAGCTCACCCAAGGATAAACCACCTGCTGTGGGAGAGAGAAGCTGGCAGAAAGCTGATTGCTCAGTCTGTCTGGAGAAACCAACACTTGCAAGGACCAAAGCTGTGCAAACCCTCGCAGCTCAGCTTGAGAGCAGGACCAAAGCTTTTCACCATCCAAAGGAGGTGACCTACCAAAAGGAGACCCAAAGTATTTTTAGGATGGAATAAAAGCCAGAAGGAAGTGTAAATCACAAGTGTGATGCTCGTTGTCATTATGACAGCAATGTGCAAAATGGTTTGCAAAGGCCTGTCCCTCGCAGTTTGCTCGGCGGTGTGAGCAGCAGCCTTGAGGATGGAGCATCTCTTGCTGAAGCCACCGTGCCATCTGTGCTAAGTTTCCCCTCCTGACCTCCTTTGTGAGTCTGGTGAGGGGAGGCAGGAGATCCGAAGGTAAATGCGGAAAATGGACCAAAGCTGACAGAGAGCAATGACTGAGATCTATTTCAAGTTCCACGGAAACCTGACGGGCCGTGTCCACCTTCCAACTCTGGCTACTGAAGTAGACACAACAGCAGACAAATATTCCGGCCTCTACGTGTATGTGGGATTGTTCCTCACCCTCCTGGCTCTCCTCCTGATCCTGCTTTTCTCCATGCTCCTGCGCCTGAAGCACGTTGTGTCCCCCATCACCTCCCCGGAGAGCACCGAGAACGTGCAGCAGTTCACGGACGTGGAAATGCACAGCAGGATCCCCTCCACTTAGGGAGCCCACAGCAAAGAGGGCTCCGTGCTTGGCAAAGGTGTTTTCTTCAGCAAAAGGTGGTGGAGAGAAGCTCTGGCCGCCTGTTGAGCCCCACGAATTCCTGCAGAACCCTCAGCAGCATCTGGAGATTGTCACTGGCTGTTGGCACCACAGGCAGCATGTGTGCAGCAGCCTCCATAAAATCGACATTACAGAAACACGCTGCTGTCAGGGAAGGCTCACACCCCTCTAAAAACCTTGCAGGAAATGGGAAAAGCCACATTAATGACAGCCAAAAACCCAGAGAAACATAGCAGGATGTGTCCTGGGGCCTGTGCTTGCTGCCCTCTCTCTCTGAATCAACAAAGCTGAAGTGGTGTAAGTGGGAAGAGCCCACGGGGCACACACAGAAATTGTCAGTGGCTTGAAAATTCTCAGGCATTTCTCCCATTCGAGAAGGAAAACATGAAATTGTTCTCTTTTTTCACTTGAATGGCAATTTGGAAATTAAACAACAGATTTTCACAAATATAGAAATGTTTCATCACCCGTTGGAACTCCTTCTTTCTGACATTAGAAGCCATTTAGTGAATAGTTACACACCAGATATCAAAAAGAGACAGAACTTTAAAGAGGAAAGAGAATAAAGCCAAAATTTAAGGAAGGTTTAAAATAAAAACAAGCAGCAGCAGCAGGAAATGAAATTAAAAAACTTAAAAGACACTCTACCTCTTCCTTTGTCCTCCTTTACATTAACTGGGATGAATATAAACATTTTTATGCCTTTTAGGGTCCCCAGTATCACTCAGTAATTAAAATGCAGTGTAAGTTTTGGGAGCCCAATTGACATAATTCATAACAACAATAATATGTTCTCTCATATCCATATTGGGTTTTCTTCCTCAAAAGACAGACAAATTCTTCCAAAGTTTTTCTCATTTGTTTTCCTCCAAGGAAAGCTGAGGAAATGCCCTGGCCTGGCACTGCAATAAGGAATAGTGGGAACAGCTTTGGACACAGACTAATAGAGAACATGCAGATGGAAAATAAACCCACTGAGCACTGAAAGATATGATTGGATTCAAATATCCTGATGGAATCTCACGGGGGAAGGAAATGTTTATCTGAATTTATGGCACAACAATCTGACCCAGTCCAATGAGTGACACACAGAGTTAGGGTTTGCTTCTGTGGATGGAAAAGATGGAGCCAAATACAGCAAATCACTCCTGGGAGAGCCACTGCCTCTCACAGGAAAACCTTCAGTGAATTGTGTCAGCCACATCTCTAAAGGGCAGGAATTTTACACAGCTAATACTCTTTATTACAGTCTAGGTCAGCAATAAAACCCCCTGGATGTTTTCCACTTGTACATACACTCTTATTTGCCAATCCTCCTCTCTCCAAGGGCTTGGAAAGTGTAAAGTCCTCACACAAACCCAGTGCAAAATTAGAGAAGACAGCATCACATGGACCTGTGACAGCAGCAGGAAATTTTTCTTCAAATGCTCTGTGTACAAGAGGGTTTTTGGTTACCTTTAAAGCTCTGGGTGAGCTGTTTGGATGGGAATATCTGGGCTTTTACAGGTGGTAGCCAGGGGGGAAGCAGAATGACAAGTAACATACGCAGAATCCATGGGCAGGACCAGTGCTACTTCTGACTGATGTATTGAGTACAAAACCAGTTAAACATTGCTTCTCTGTACTGACTCATTCCTTTTTACTTCATTAACCCCCACATCTGTGAATCACAGAATCCCAGAATGGTTTG